CAGGATGCAGTTTTTCCGACCCGTCAAAATGGGGCAACCTGTCATCACGGCACAGACGTGCGCTCGCATTGCGGACGTAGGATGCACTTCTGCCGACCCGTCAAAATGGGGCACTCTGTCATCGCGGCACAGACGTGTGCTCGCATTGTGGACGAAGGATGCACTTCTTCCGACCCGTCAAAATGGGGCAATCTTTCATCACGGCACAGTATGGTCAACAATTTTAGTACCCCCGAAGTAATATTAACAGTAACAGCAATAGAAAGGATAACAATAATAATAATAGTAATAATAATAACAACAATGCTACAAACAATCAGAGTACTAGTAATAATAATATTAGCAATACGGAGGAGGAGGACGAGGGACTGTATCCATTCTAGCTCAAGCCATGCTGGTTCCTCTCGTTTTGGCTCACGACCGCTTCGCGCATGGGGCGCGCCTGCGGCGGTGCCCATGCGCGGCGCCCGCAGGCCCCGCGCCCGGCCCAGAGGGCCGCCCTTGACCGCAGAGCTCCAGCACAACGAGCACCGCGGCCGCGAAGCGTCGACCGCGCGCAGACGGGGGGTGGGGGGAGCGGGGGAGGTTTCCAGGAAGCGCCCCTGCTTCCTGGAAGGCGCTGGCCTCGCCTATGGGTGCAGGGCCGGCGCTGTCTAAGTAGCAGCCGTGTTCTAAAAGATCTGGCCCTTCCCTTTAATGGAGGATGACGATTAATAAATGACCGGGGGTCGTGTTCACGCGGCGGCGCCCGGGATGACGATTAGAAAAACCGGCCGCGGGCTGGAAAATTATTTCGTTATAAATCGTTCTCCTCCAGTCAGAAAATCGTGCAGAAATTGCAGAAGACTATTTTTTGAATCGTTCTCTCCAATTTTTACTAAGATACCCCCTCCCGTGTGCGCCGCCAACACGAACACCGCCGCCGCAGGAGGAGCCACGAGGCCGGCGCCGCGCACGGCGCGGGGCGCCGGCCGCGCCCAGAGCCCCGGCTGGGGCGCGAGATGTTGCTCCACGGCTGCGTGGCAGGGCCCACGGCGGCGCATGCGCCCGAGAGAGCAGACGCACGCCGCTGTGGGCGGGGCACAGCTCGGCCCGGGTCCGCCCTCTTCGTGGGGGCCCTCTTGCCCGAACGCCAACAGCGTCGATCTTCTCCCGCGGGCCTGCGCCGCGCGCGAGGGGCACGCGACCTTGGGCGCCGCCGTGGCTACAGCCGCGGCCGCGCGGAATGCGGCCCAGGGCTGCGAGGGCCGCCAGCACAAGCACGGGAGCCACCACCGCAGCTGCGAGAGCCACCGGCAGTGCCACTGCGGCCACCAGCTGAACTGCAGCCAGCAGCAGAGGGAGGGCCGCTCGCAGAAGTCGAGGGGCCGCCAGCGCGGCTACGAGGACCACCAGTTGAGCAACGACTGGACCCCGCGGATCCCCGATTGGAGCCAGCATTGCGCCAGCAGGGTGCCCCCCGCCAGGCCCGGGCCGCCCTTGCCGCACAGGCCGACGTGGTCACTGCACCAGAGGGAGGCCCAGGGCGCGCCCCCAGGGCGACGGCCCCGAGAGGCCAGGCGGGCTGACAACGGGGAAAGACGAGGCACAAGCCAACAGAACGGTGGCCCACGGGTCCAAAGTGAATGCGACGACCCACGGGCCGGAGCACGCTGCGAGCTTGAGGAGGGACGCGCTAGCTTTGCCATTTGCCAGCGCCACCGCTGAGGCCGTGTGACAATCATCGTGCTCATAGGTCGCAAGGTCGACGCCGTCCGGAGCGAGATGTACGAAAGTGTCCTGAGCAAGCCCATGGGCTCGGCACGACGTGCTTACGCTGCAAACACGGCAACGTCACTTTCACTTCGGCCGAGATGGTCAGCAACTCTCTTTTTTTTGTTTCTCCATCTCTCTCTCTCTCTGTCTCTCTCCCCCTCCCTCTCGGAAAATTCGACGCTGACCAGCCAGAGGGGGAGGAGGAGGAGGACGAGGAGGAGGAGGAGGAGAAGGAGGAGGCGGATCTCACTCAGCAGCGTGAGAGCGCTGGCGCCCTCGCGCCTGGGGGAGCCCCTGGCCGCGACAGCGCGGGGCGCACCTCGAAGAACGGGGCGGTTGACCTGCAAAGGGGCTTGTGCACGCGCCCACGTCCCATGCCGTTGGCCAGGATCTACAGTGCCACAGAGCCCATACGCATCTGCGCCGCGTGCCGCCGTCTGCCTCTTCGCCGGGACCTGGGGGACTCCCCAAAACACATTCGCAGTCGCCGAATACAACACCGAAGCAACGGCCCAGAAGGCGATCCAGATGGCGGACGTCGCGCAGATCGGCATGGCCTGCACCCACGCACGCGGGACACCGTTTGGGCCCATTGGCGAGCTCGACTACAGAGCGTCTCCCGCCTACGCCGCGCCAGGGGTTGAGCAAAGGGAAGAACCAGAACAGTTCCGCGACCGCCAAGCCGACCAGCCCGCCGAGAGCAACGACACGGCGACCACCGAAAAACCCAGAGAGAGCAGCAGCTACGCGCGACTGCGTGCCGCTGAGAAGGCCGAGGAGGCTGCGGCTCACGCGACAGCAGCTGCGTCGCAGGATGGGGGAGGCCACGCTTGAGGAGACGACCAGCCTGCCAGATCACGCACGGCACGGCGTAGCTATCGCCATCCCGAGATCACGACAGCGCCCGCTCCGGGGCACAGGCTCCCTGCGGAAGTGGCACACAGCGGCCGCCACGTGGTCCGAGGCCCACCCAGCCACCGCCACACGGTCGGGGCGTTGAAGAAGGAACTCGTTTCGTCGGGTAGGGGCTCCGTGTTCCTTAATCGTTTCGCAGTTTGCCCCACGTCTTCCTCAGGTTTTCGAAGGGAAATCGAAGTTCAACTTCTGGAGGAAAGGGGCCTCGTTCCTTATTTGGGGTTCCTTTGGTCAGCGCCCCGACTGTACAGCGACAGCAACGCGCCGAGTTGGAACAGCAGTTCGAACGGCATGCAAGGACGTCCCCTCTTGAGGTGCGGGGCAGGGCGGCCCTGCCGCGCGCCGCTCGCGCGGAGGGTGGGGGCCTGCAGCAGGAGGAAGATCGAGCGCAGCAGCAGCACGGCGCGACCGACGTCCCGCTCCATCCCCATGGAGACCACGCGCTACGCCCACCCCTGCCCCCTCCTCTGGTTTCTGTTCGCCCCTCCTTGCCCCCCCTCTCCCCTATCCTGCCCTCCCGGGGGTAGCTTTTCAGAGGCTCCGTGGCGTGGGGTGGTTCTTGCCCCCCTTTCTCTTCTTTCCACTCGGGGGGGGGCTTCGCCTCGCCTCGTCGACTTCCACCATGCCCTGCCGTTTCCCTCGTCGAGCTGGCGTCGACGCCAATAGCTTCCTTCAAGCTTGGCCGCCCCGTGCCAGACTGCACGAGGTGGGGCAGGGCAGCACCTTCTTGGAGGTAGCATTGCCCGCGGCACCGAGGAGGAGGAGGAGGAGGAGGAGGAGGAGGAAAAAGGAGGAGGAAGGAGGAGGAGGAAGGAGGAGGAGCAGGAGGAGGAAGGAGGAGTAGGAGGAGGAGGATGAGGAAGTGGAGGAGGAAGTGGAGGAGGAGGAGGAGGAGGAGGAGGAGGAAGAGGAAGAGGAGGAGGAGGAGGAGAGCTGCTCGCGCGCTGCTTCCATGGGGGTGTTTTGGAGAGGCCTCTGGGGATCCCAACAGATGGCTCGACGCCTCATTGAGGTCGACGTTGGGATCAGCAATCGGGAAATCGTGGATTGAGGGACCAAGGGGGATCCCTCCTCCTCCTCCTCCTCCTCCTCCTCCTCCTCACTACCACCGCCATCACCATCACCACCGCCACCACACTACGACCATCATCGTCATCAGCATCATCATCATCTTCATCACCATCATCACCATCATCATCATCATCATCATCAGCATCATCGTCATCGTCATCACCATCATCACCTTCTTCATCATCATCATCACCATCGTCAGCATCAGCAGCATCATTACCATCACCACCATCATCGTGATCATCAGTATTATCAACCGCCTCATTATCGTCGTCATCATCACCACCACCATCATCGTCATCATCATCAGCAGGAGCAGCATAATCCGTATCAGCATCACCATCCGCATCATCATCATCATCATCATCATCATCATCATCATCATCATCATCATCATCATCATCATCAGCATCAGCATCAGCATCAGCATCAGCATCACCACCATCATCATCACCATCATCACCAGCATCGTCATCGCCATCATCATCCTCATCATCATCATCATCATCATCATCATGCTCATCATCATCATCATCATCATCATCATCATCATCATCATCATCATCATCATCATCATCATCATCATCATCATTTTCAGCAGCAACCGAAGCATCCTCATAGTCATTATTATCATCACCACCATCAGGTTCATCGTCAGCATCATCACCATCATCATCCTCATCATCCCCATCATCATCAGCAGCAGCATCATCATCATCACCACCATCATCATCATCAACATCATCATTAACATACTTAGCATCAGCACCATACTAATCATCAGCATCATTATCGTACCATCATCATCGAGGTGCCTGGCTTGGAGGCAATCTGCTGTGCAGGGCCAAGGTGCTGGAAGAGGTCTCTGGCCGAGAGCGGAATGCAGGGCGTGACATGCCCTCGCAGATCGTGCGACGTTCTTGGCACGGCCCTCGTCATCGATGGGGCGGTGCGCTGGAGCTGTTGCACTTGCGCCGACGCTGGATGGGCCATCCAGGAAGGCCAGACGTTTCTTGCGGAGGCCGAGGAGCAGGTGGCTGGAACCACCGAGGCCAGCGCCAGAGACTGACGTGCTGGGGGCTTTAGCGCAGCGGCAGCCATCGTGGCGGGCGCTGCTGTCGCAGACGAGGGTGGCCACGCCAGCGATGCCGCACTAGCTGCGGCAGAGCCAGGGCCGCAAACCGCCGTGGAGGCTGGGGCCGAGGAGGCGGCGGCCGCGCCAGGGCCGTCCCACCCGCCCGTGGCGCTCGGCAGCAGAGGCCGTGGACGGGCCCGGGGGCGCGGGCGCGGCGGCCGCCTACCGCGCCCGCCCGCGGACGGCTGGCCCGAGGGCGAGGGTGGTCGCGGAGGGTTCGGCCCAGAGGCCTGATTGGTGGAACGCCCGGGTCCACTCCTCGCATGTGCTCTACGCTGCGGGGCCGCGGGTGTTCTGCGCAGCGTGCTGCTACCATGCAGCGTGGGCGAGGGTCGCGAGCCTCACAGAGCCGTGCCCGCGCCGCGCGGTGGATAGGCATGGCGGTGGATAGGCATGGCAGTGGATAGGCATGGATCGGCGTCTTCCCCTTTCGTAATTCCTCTGCTTCTTTCCTGCCCCTGCCCCCGCGCGCTCCCGCTGCATGTCCGTCACCGTTTTTGCTCAGGCACAGTTGGGGCGAAGTTCCCAGTCAGAGGAAAAAATACTTCCGAGTACTTCGAGGGTAAGGGTCTGGTCGTCCTGTCCCTGCCCTTTGATGGTAGTTCGCATTCACATTCATACTCCGCTTACTTTACTTATGTTTCTCTTTGCATTCGGAAAGATCGGAGTTCTTTCCAAGAGCGCGGCACACTGCAGTCTATGAGGCCACCGCAGACGATGGCATATCCTCGACAGCCTTTCGCTCCAGCCGGCGGCGTGTTCACGCAACCGAGGAGGGGCCTCCCACCGGTATCGATTTGGGTTTGTCCGTGCGTCGACATGCGAATGGAGAGGAGCCAGCCCATTGAATCGGGAGAGAACATCGAGGTGATCGGTGTCGCTTCAGACATCCCCGGTTTGAAAGCCTGCCTGGAGACATAGCGTGCGACCTTTGCGCCGTGGAAGTGTGGTGACGAGCCGGAAGTAGCTTTGGACCGTTGCCTCCAGTTACAGACCATGATCGAGTTGAACTTTCTTGATGAGCAGTGGGACTTTTTGATGAAAAGGCCGGGGTCTTATGATTCAGCAGACTGGAGAATCCACGCGGCTGAACATCGTCGAGCACTTGTCGTCCCTCAAAAATAAGTCGGACCACAAAAAAACAGCCAAAGAGGCAGCGCAGCCGTCCGGGTAAGAAGTCTTTGCGGGAACGCCTGGAGGAGGCAGAGCCTTCCGACGAGGGCCGGCGCCCCGCCAGAAACAAGAGGGACCGCGAGGGTGAACCGTGCAAGGCATCGTCGGCACCGCGGGCTGAGTTCCCGATCAACGCCCGCATCGCGTACAAGCAGGAGGTTGCTGATGACCAGGAGGGCGCGGTGACGGGCACCTAGATGGCCGGTAAATGTGCGTCACTAGAGTTGGCGCGGACACGACCGAGGCGAGCTGGGACGTCCTCCGGTGCATGCTCGCTCCTCCGGCTTCTGTGGCGCGTCCTGAGCACATGATGACTCCCAACCCTAGGGGTCGCAGCCGCGTTCGCCGCGCCGACGATGACGGGCCGCCTACCTTGGATTACCAGGAGGATTTCCAGGCTTGGATGGCGGAGGCAGCAGCAACGAGGATGTCAGATTCCTGAGTTGCGTCGTCGAGCTCTTTGGGCTCGCCAAGACAGGGTTCGGCATGTACCCTCCCTGAGCGCAGGCTTCCGGATCAGCGATGGGATATTGAGTGTTCTGTTGTGCAAGCTTTTGATGCGATTGGTCTGTCTCATGCGACCAGCCCACGTCATCTTGCACGATTTGGCATCAGTAGCTCTTCTGTCCTCTCTGAATTGGTAGCCCACCCGTTTGCAGCACCATTGTAGCAACAAAGTGAATCCATGTTCCCAGATGCCGCGAGTTTCGTGGACCATCTGGTTCGATGTTGCAATGACATTGCTCACTTCGGCCGATTGCACCCTGTGGTTGGCCTGAAAATAGCAAGGGCGTGGACAAGTGCTTTGGGAAATTCATGGAATGGGCTTATGGGGTATTGTATACTGGTAGTAGATGTAAAGTTTGTAACCATGTTGTTCTCAATTGTACGTGCTATGGGCGGAGTGGGGGAACCAAGCAAAAGCGACTGTCAGGAACTGTCTCTGGTGTTGTAACTATCTCAGGGGTGGCTTGATCCGCTGGTTTGTTTCCTGGTCAAAATTCAGGTTCCACCGTGTGTTGGGGGAGTTTATCCATACTACGTTTTCGTCTTTCACTCCTTCCTCCTCTTCTTCATCATCATGCGTCATATACATGTGGCCTTCTATAAACACACGCCATGCATACATTGAACAGACGATCCGGGGCACGCATTAAAAAGATTTGCTGAGCACGCTAGTAGTTTCGTGGATCTAGACCGATATGTCAAACAATTGCCAGCCTACGCAGTGATGAGGGGACTGGGGGTGCACAATATTGTATGTTTCCTATGACTAGTGTGGCTTGTACGTCGACACACAAAATGAGGGCATTGGAACGACGGCTGATTAATGCTTTTTTTTATCCGACTCTAAATGCGACCATCTTGTACAAGCGCTGCAAGGCAGGACCGATGCATCTCAATGGGTGAACCTGCCCAGTCCGTTTTTCTGTTGCTGCATGCCGCCGTTCTTTCATTCGGAATCATGATCCGACGCAGCGTTTCCAACAGTGGCACGCAATCTGTCAGTGGACCAGACGGGGGCTGAAAAGGATGCGGTGTCTATCGCCTGCCGTCTCGGCAGGATCCAGAATTGCTCTCAATCTGCATTGCGTCGCATCCGTGGCATATGCACAAAGGGTCGATAGATTTCGGTACAACACGTGCCTCGCCACATCCAGAACTACCTGCACGGCAAGGAACAGACAGTGGCGAGGCAGCGTTTCTCCAAGATTTGCCGGCTACCGGGCGACATCGCTGCTTGGAATCTCCACATCAATGTGCGACCGCTGCCTAGTATCAACATGGCGAACATCATATTAAATTTCATATGCCATCAAATATTACGTGCCCTTCCGCCTCAACATTGGGCCAATCTCAACTTGAAAAAGTCGCCACCGCCATCGATATCACCATACATGCGCAACGTGGCTTCTTGGAGGGACAACGTTGATGCTGCCGATTTCCCGCGCACGCGCGCGTTCCTCGCGGACTTGCTGCAGGTCGATTGCCCTGCGAGTGGACATTTACGTGGTAAATCCATGTTAACATAATGTTGCAATACTTGTGGTGGTGATATGAGCGTTCAGAGTCGCATTGTTCCATCTTGCTCCTCGTGCAGAAACCAAGTGTCAATGTGCATGGTGCTTTGCGTAAGCAAGTTTATCGGCGCGGGCGTGCCGTTCCTGTGTTTGATGCAACGCATGTGTGCGATTACGCGAATGGTGCGTAACAGAACTATAATCATTTTAGGGGGATGGGCATTACACAATATGCTTAATCATATTGGAAGAACTTATTTGCAGAAGCGCGCGGCGACGCCAAGTGACAAGAATTCGCGGGCATTGCGCTTCTCTTGTCCTCGAGGGCGGCAGAACAGAATGTTCAACTTGTTCGTGCCCCGTGCTCCTGTCCGCTTTGCCGTGCCTCGCCTCGCCGACGTTCGCGCGCGGATTGACGCCATTGCTAATCATCTATCATGCACGGGTCCAGATTAAAATTGCAGGGCGCCACGAATTTGGGAGTTGCACTGGCTGGCCAAAACATTCAAATTTACGTCAAAACACGAGCCCGCTTGGTTCTCATTTCAAGTGCAGGTGTAAGACTTCATTCAGTTTGGTTCATCGGGCTCTTAATTTCACGATCCAGATTTGGGGGCGAAGCCTTGGGGTCAACAGTGTTGCATCAGTCATAAGGAAAATTGTGGATTTCAATGTGGAGGTTCAGGAAAGCTCGCCGAGGCTACGTCGTTTCCACTCGCCGCGCAAAGAGGGGCATCGACAACTTTTTCGGCAATGCCCCCAGGAGCTGGCGATTTCTGCCCTGTCGCGGGGCGCGGGAGCTTTCTAGGGAATCGTCGGGGCCCGGCTCCCTTGCATCCAGATTCCCCGGCGCAGGAAGACTCCGCCTTCCAGGAGCGCCGAGGTGTTCTGCCGCGCCTTCCACCGCCATGCCCGCGACCAGGCGAGAGATGCAGATCTCTTCCCCGTGCTCCACAATGCTCGTAATATGCCGTCAGTATCTGATGTAATTCATGTGGGCGATATTGAGACTGTGATTTGCCTTGATTGGATGTCTGGCTTGCACTTCTGGGGGGGCACACTGGTTGGGTTTGACAACGGTATGACACAGGGAATTCCGCTCAGCCTGGGTGTCTGCGCTCTAGTGCGTTGCTTTTTGGAGCATCCATGGTCAACAAACCTCCGTAGTACTATCCGCTAAGCTCCCGTGCGTAATTTTAAGGTGGGTGGATGATTTGCACATGTTGGCATGTGTTTATTCTCGCGCTGGAGACAACCTTGATCACGCTGCCGCGGGGGAGAGCATTATTAACGGTATTGTGAACATACACACACTTCATTTTTCTATGGAAACAGAGGATAATAATGCGTTCGCGGGGCCCCAAGCATCCGCGCGCGGGAACCGCGCGGCGCGAACCCAGCCTCGCACCATTAATGTTTTTTTGATGGGGGCGCCCAGCTGGACAGGCCCCGGTTTCGACATTGGCATCTTAAACAATGGAAAAGTATTTAAATCCCTACTATACAGAGCCAGGCTATTCATAATGCAGACGGGTTTATCGACGTCGATTGGGAACATTCAACAGATTGTAAATCTGATTGTGGAATTTTGGTCTGTTGATTACCCCTCATCTGTTTGCGAGAGGGCGCTAAACCGGGCCATCTCCAAACGCCCCTACATCTGATCTGTCCGCGGTGATGCCCGCCATTGCGGAGCGAGTCTATCGGTCGCGCGCGCGCCAGGGGTCCAACGAGTGATTGCGCGACGACCGGGGGCGGTCGCAGGCTTGAGGGTTGGATTGCATTTTAGTCCACTGCGGTAGTAAGCTCCAGCCATGCAGTTTCCCATCCCGTCTTCCCCTTTCGTTTTCCCGCGCTTCCTCCCTGCCCCTGCCCCCGCGCGCCCCCACTGCATGTCTGTCGCCGTCTATGCTCGGACACAGCTGGGGCGAAGCGCCCAGTCTGTGGAAAAATACTTCCGGGGGGCGTCCTCCGCCGCCTGCAGCGCGGGTCCCGCCCGCCCCAGTCGGGGTAGCCCGGAGATCTTGCAGCGGTGGCCCATGGGCCGAGGCGGCGCAGCTGCTCGCGTGAGCCTGAGGGCTGAGCAGCACCGAGGCCTCTGCAGCAGCCTGTCGGCCCGCTTTGAATCGCGGCTTCCTCGGGGGGCGGGGTCGCTGGACCGCCTGGTCCGAGGGCCCGCGC